CCCTGCATCGGCAGGCGGACTCTCAACCACTGCACCACCAGGGAAGCCCTACTCTCTTTTTGTTTGGCTTCTTTCACGCATAAAAATTATCCATGTTTTGGTGTGGACCAAGATTTTGTTCCTTTTTATTGTATGGATATACCACAGTTTATTTATCCACTCACTTGTTGATGAACATTTGGGTTGTTTTAATTTTTGGCTATTACACATAAAGAGCAGGTCTCCAAAAACCATAATTCAAAAAGAGTCATGTACCACAATGTTCATTGCAGCTCTATTTACAATAGCCAGGACATGGAAGCAACCTAAGTGTCCATCAACAGATGAATGGATAAAGAAGATGTGGCACATATATACAATGGAATATTACTCAGCCATAAAAAGAAACGAAATTGAGTTATTTGTAGTGAAGTGGATGGACCTAGAGTCTGTCATGCAGAGCGAAGTAAGTCAGAAAGAGAAAAACAAATACCGTATGCTAACACATATATATGGAATCTAAAAAAAAAAAGAAAAAGGTCATGAAGAACCTAGGGGCACGATGGGAATAAAGACACAGACCTACTAGAGAATGGACTTGAGGACACGGGGAGGGGGAAGGGTAAGCTGGGACAAAGTGAGAGGGTAACATAGACATATATACACTACCAAATGTAAAATAGATAGCTAGTGGGAAACAGTTGCATAGCACAGGGAGATTAGCTTGGTGCTTTGTGACCAGCTAGAAGGGTGGGATAGGAAGGGTGGGAGGGAGGGAAATGCAAGAGGGAGGAGATATGGGGATATATGTATATGTATAACTGATTCACTTTGTTATAAAGCAGAAACTAACACACCATTGTAAAGCAATTATACTCCAATAAAAATGTTTAAAAAAAATAAAGACTGGGCTAAGCAAAAAAAAAAAAAACAACAAAAAACAAAAAAAAACAAATAATACTATGTGTACTTACCATATTATATTTTATGTGTGTATAAAAACAAGAAATTGAAAATAAATATATTCAATATAAATATGGACATGATTAAATTTCAGCGTGTTAAAATTAAAAAAAAGAAAGAACGGGTCTCCACGTGGACATATATTTTCATTTCACTTGGGTAAGTATCTAGGAGTGCATGGCTGTAACTCTTAAAATTCAATAATAAAAAAACAAACAACTCAATTAAAATAAAAAGAACAAATGGTTTGAACAGACACTTCAACAAGAAGATATAGGGGTAACAAATAAACACATGAAAAGATGCTGAATGTCATTTATCACTGGGGAAATGTAAGCTAAAACCACAGTGAGATAATAGTACACACCTGTTAGAATAGCTAAAATTAAAAAGATGGATATATCAAGAGTGGGCGGGACTTCCCTGGTGGTCCAGTGGGTAAGACTCATCACTCCCAGTGCAGGGGACCTGGGTTCCATCCCTGGTGGGGGAGTGAGATCCCGCATGCATGCCACAACTAAGAGTTCACATGCTGCAACTAAGACCCGGCACAGCCTAAATACATAAAATAAAATAAAATATTAAAAAAAAAAGAGTGGGCAAAAATGAGATGAATTGGAACTCTGGTGGGAACATAAAATGGTACAACCACTTTTAAAAATAATTCGGTAGTTTCTTAAAATGTTAAACATATACTTACCATATACTCTTATGGCTTTTGAATTCCTTTTTTGTTTTTTGGTGAGTCCTTGAAACGGGGCTTAACTTCTTTCTTTGCAGTTTATCTCCCTTTTTTTTTTTTTTTTTTGCTATAATCAGAAACAAAGGAAAGGGGAAAGCTACTCCCCTCCCACTTTTTGGGTGTATTTTTTGCTTCACCACTTTGGCCCCAAGCTCTGCATTGGTGTTTAGAAACAGTAGCATCTCCTTCACATAATTTTTTTAAGGGTTAAATGAATTCATCTATGTAAAGCATCAGTACTGGAAGCACTGCCTAATCCATAATAAGTGTGATTATACGTGTGTTACCTAAAAGAAAAGCTCTGGGTCAGTAAATCTCACAGACACACAGCTTCTTTAAATACTCTGACAATCTTTTGGAGGAGCTGAATATTTCCCAGAACATGTATTTTACAACTTCATCAGACTAACCTGTTTTGAGGAAAATAGAAGGTATTTTTCTTTAAGTGGCAACCACTGTATGGCAGTAAGAAGGGGGTTTGCTTATTTTGGCTTCTTGTCTGATGTCATCTTAGCAGATCAGAGAAGGCTAGTGCGTGGTCTCTGCAGGAGAACTGTCTGGGCTCAAGTCCTGGTTTTGCCCCTGTGTGATTTGGGTGAATGAGTCTCCATTTATCAGAAAGGAATAGGTCCCATGTTCACAAACTATCTTTGATAATGCAGACAACATCCTCCAGATCCTGCTGCTTCTTTCTGCTATTTTGAATCTACCTAATTATTTAGCGAATATTGATGGAAAATTGGCATAATTCTAAGTTATTTGAGAGAAAGGAATATAATCCTAAACCAGTGGAAAAACAATTGAAATCTAATAGTAATATGGGACTGATGGGGACCATCTAAGGACAGATGAAAAGCTGTGTGTGAGAAAAGGATGATTTCTCCTTAAGAGGCTCAGAGAATCCTGCCTGGAGGAGGTGGCATTTACATTAGGGGCACGTGGGAATGGAGAGAAAGGGAGCTCTGGCTTTAGGGGGCCATTTGAATATATAAAAGTTGCTTGTGAGTGAGAAGTTTGGCAAGAATGAAGAGATGCAAACATGCAGGCATGGAAAGACATAGGAAAGAAAAGCATTGCCATATATATATATATATATATATATATATATATATATATATTTGGTTAAGCTAAGGAAGAGTATGTAGGTGTTCATTGTACAATTATTTCAGTTTTTTTGAAGGTTTGCAATATTTTATTTTTCTCTCTAGTTTTATTAAATTTAACATAAGGAATACCTCTGTAGATGTCAGTCTGAGGGGGTCCATCTAGACGAAATAAGCCTGAGAAAAATCTCTCCTTTGTGCAAATCAAGGGGTGCCAGAAAACAAAAACTGCCTTCTCCCAGTTCCAAACTGAATTCATTTTTATGTGTCTCATCTTGCAATGTCTTCTTTGTTAATATTTCTTATCTATGCTGTCTGTCCCTGAAGGTTCGTACTGGGATGCACCATCTCGTGTACTTATTACATTATTTGCAGTCAAAATATATTTATAAATATTAACAATTACACCTAGATGTCAAAATTTCTCACTTGTACACATACACACCCAGACACCACAGACGTACATACCCAGGTAGAGTTATACATCTTACCTAAAATCTCCAATCTTCTTTCCAGAACTCCAACATCTTACATAAGCTTCACATGAATCATTCAGCTTCAGAAAATTCTGTTAAATACACCTCTGTAGGCCAGTGATTTCAATGGCTTCTCTTCCATGTTTATGTGGAAAGGTCAGACACACGGAATCCTATTTTCTTGGCTCTTCCATGCTGATACAGAGTGCCCCATCATATTTACCAATTCCTTAATCCCCAAACCAGTGTGAGAATTATCAGAGGGAATGTAGTTGGACGTGGCTCTGGAAAACTTCTGCTGATGGAAAAGTTGTTTCAGTGGGGATAATTAAAGAGCACATACACTATGTGCTATTTAGATACACACACTTTGGAACACACATTTTTGTTTGGGGTCTAAAATTTTCTAGCAGTAGTAAAGATCCTCTCCTTGACCAAACCCTGCTCAGCCTCCCCTGAATTTTTCAACAAAGTCTAGACTTTTGGACCTCCATGTTTGTCTCTGCATTGTCCTATTTTAGCAAAAGTCCTGCTAAGTCACTTTAGCCAGAATTCTCCGCCCTCCTCATTTGATCACCTTCCACATCTAATCAGGTTTCTCATCCTCCAGCACCTGCCAGGTGATGTCTGATCACCCTGGCCTGCCTGCAGCAAGAATCCTGTTAGGTCACTTTAGCCAGGATGTCTCCTTCCCCCTGTTCCCCTTGTAATTTTCCTATTGGGAAATAAATGTTCTTAGGGATTGTGAACAATTTCCTTAGGCAGCTTCACCCTTGCAGGGAAATTCCTGAAGTGTGACACACAGATGTTGGCAGGAGCCCTTGGATCTGAAGGGTTATGTAGGTGAGAGTGAAAGAGATCTATCTCAGTGGGGTGCTGACCAAAGTGTGTAACGGAACTTTCATAAGATCCACACTGGCTCCACCAGCAAATTCTACTCATTGGACCTTCAGAGTTTTTCAACATTCTCACCACTCTACCATGACTACCCGAAGTCATGTCTTCATTATTTCTGCTATAGTAACTTCTTTTTTTTTTTTTTTTTTTTGCAGTACGCGGGCCTCTCCCATTGCGGAGCACAGGCTCCGGACGCGCAGGCTCAGCGGCCATGGCTCACGGGCCCAGCCGCTCCGCGGCACGTGGGATCCTCCCGGACCGGGGCACGAACCCGTGTCCCCTGCATCGGCAGGCGGACTCTCAACCACTGCGCCACCAGGGAAGCCCTATAGTAACTTCTTAATTGGTCTCCGTGTTTTCGTCCTCAGCCCTCTTCAGTCTATTCATAACAGTAGCTCCTGCAATTCTCTTAAAACATGCATAATTAATCCACCTTTCAAAGCCCTCCGAGTGCATCCTATCTTACTTAATGTGAAAGTCAAAATCCTTCCAATGGTTTAAAAAGTCCTAATGACCTGGACCCATGGCCCAGTTATCTCTCTGACCTCAAATACTACCCCTCTCTTCCTTGCCTCCTCTCATCTAATTACAAAGTCCTCCTCGCTGTTTCCTGGATGCTCTGGGCACACCCCCACCTCAGGGCCTTTGCATGTCTGATTTGTGGGCTGAGATTTGTACCACGACATGAACATTTTTATAACTAAAAAAAAAAATTAAGGTCTGTTCAGCTTGCTGCTTTGTGACCACCTAGAGGGGTGGGATAAGGAGGGTGGGAGGGAGACGCAGGAGGGAGGGGATATGGGGATATATAGCTGATTCACTTTGTTATACAGCAGAAACTAACACAATATTGTAAAGCAATTATACTCCAATAAAGATGTTAAATTAAAAAAAAAATTAAGGTCTATTATCTACCTCCAGAAATGGAGGGAAAAAAGCCTCCCAGCAGTTGTAAATAGCATAGTAAGTAAACAAATAAAAGCTGAGTTGATATACAGAATAATGTTTTCCACTTCATTCCAACCCTTTTGAGTGTATATGCGTCGTCTGAAGCAGCTGCAGGGGTTTCTGTCCATTTTAAGGAGTCACGTTGTCGGGGAATAAAAACGAATCGGTTGTTTGCTTAACCATATTCTCCAATGATTTTAGCAGCAAAAACGAGTGAGAGGCAATATTCATTCATCGACCTTTTAAATTTTTATGAATGTTTTCTATGTTCCGCTTGCTCTGCCAGGTGCTGGGGATAAAACTATAAATAAAGCATAAAGAGAAAAAGGAATGGGAAACAGGGTCCTGAATGCTGTGCTGGAGCCAAGTGCAGGGCGCTGAGGGAGAGCAGTGGCCAGTGGCCAGTGGGCCAGGGCTTCAGAGGAAGGTGAACTTGAGGACCCGTGTGAGGTCACAGAACTCATAAATGCGGAGGTCCATATTCTAATGCAAGCTGTGCTGACTTCAAGGCACCTGCTCTCAACGGCTGGAGTGTGGGCTTTGGAAGGGAAAACCTTCAGGAAATAGATATTTAATTTATTCATATTCTAGAGTCAGAGCAGGTGCTTCGCTTGGATGTGTTTACTTCTTTATAATGTGATCACTTCATGAAAAATCTTATAGAATCCAAATACCCAAACTGTGTTATTTTCTAATGTGTCTCAGCTCCCTTCCTATGAACATTTTAGAAATGTAGAGGGAATGTCTGGGTATATATATTTTTTTGTTTTTTCTTAATTAGAAAATTTATTTAGTTAAGTGTAGACTCCCATGTGGTCGTAAGAAATAACAAGGGAGACCCTACCTTAACTCATTTTCCCCCAGTGACCATTTCACAATATCTATGGATAGCAAAACATCAAGTTGTACATCCTAAATATATGCCATTTGTATTTGTTAATTGTAACTCAACAGAGCTGAAAAAAACCCTGCAACTATCCAATGTGATAAAATTGTCTGCGTGTATTGGATTCCATTTTCTTTATTTCTTTCAAGGCTGTATTGCAAAGTGACATACACTTCTCTGGCTAACTATCTGATTTCTCTACGTCTTTTGTAACATAAACCCCATTTTTTTTTACATTATTATTGCATGCTGACCAGAATATTTGTAAGTCATATGTATATTAGTAGAAATATAAAAATTAATCAGAAATCTTTTAGGAAATATAGTTTATTTGATGCACAAACATTTTCAAAGGTGGTGAGACTGAGCTATCAGTCTACACCCTGTCAGAAGGCATGAGTCTTCCCTTCAGTTTCCTCATGGCAGACTTCATCTCCTGGTTCCTCAGAGTGTAGATCAGGGGGGTCAGCAGAGGGGAGATGACAGTGAAGGTGACAGAGATGGCCTTATCCGTGGGGAGGGCGGTGAAGGGCCTGGCGTAGACATAGATGCAGGGCACGAAGTGCAGGGTCACCACGGTGATGTGGGCTATGCAGGTAGAGATGGCTTTCCTCCTGCCCTCCCCTGCCTGAGACCTTAGTAATAATAATATGACCATATAGGACACCAGGAGGAAAGTGAACCACAGCATGGTGAGCAGTCCGTTATTGGAAATCATCAATAGCTCAAGCATAAGAATGTCAGTACAGGCGAGTTTGAGGACGTGGGGGACATCACAGTAAAATGTGTCAGGAGCATTGGGTCCACAGAAGGGGAGTGGTAGCAAGAGGGAAATCTGCACGATGGAGTGGACAAAGCCCCCCACCCAGGAAGCCACTATTAACCCAATGCATCAGCCTCTGCTCATGATGGGCACATAGCGCAGGGGCTTAGAGATGGCCATGTACCGATCTAATGCCATAACTGACAAAGAAGATACATCCACCCCGCCAATAAGATGGAAGAAAAACATCTGCGTGAAGCAGCCATTGAAGGAGATGGTCTTTCTCTGGGACAGAGGTCCACCAGAACTTTGGGAGCTGTGATGGAGGAAAAGCAGAGGTCGGCAATAGATAAATTACGGAGCAAAAGATACATGGGGGTGTGAAGGCGAGATTCACAGGTCACTGTGACCATGATGAGGAGGTTTCCCAGCAGAGTTGTCACATACGCCAAAAGTAGGAAAAGGAATAAGACGAGGCTTAGTCCTTGATCCTGGGTTAGGCCAAGGAAAAAAAATTCTTTTACCCTGGTGCAGTTTCCCAGTTCCATGGACTCATCCTGTTTTGCTCTGTTTTCTTTGAAGCTACTTTGTATGAAAGCACTCAGCCATTTACTTTGTTTTCTTCTCGCAGTTCAGGTGTTCCTCATGTGGCCGCAGTGTTCGCAATGTGTTGAATTGTCCATATTTTAAAGATTGCAATCAGTTTGGGGACCCAATCAAATCATCACATGTGAAATCACTCAATACTTCTTTTCCTATTAATCTATTTTTGGAAAGAATAAGCATTTGTGTTAAGTAGTGACATTTACATTTGCAGTCTGTTTTATTTAATTTATTTTGGTTTTTTTAATGTTGTTATTATTATTTCTTTTATTTTTATTTTTTTTGTGGTACGTGGGCCTCTCACTGCTGCGGCCTCTCCCGTTGCGGAGCACAGGCTCCAGACGCGCAGGCCCAGAGGCCATGGCTCACGGGCCCAGCCGCTCTGCGGCATGTGGGATCTTCCCGGACCGGGGCACAAGCCTGTGTCCCCTGCATCGGCAGGCGGACTCTCAACCACTGCGCCACCAGGGAAGACCCCTGTTATTATTATTTTTAATTTCACACAAATTTATTGATGTCAAGAGCTGTCTGAAGCATTTTTTTTTGTATTCAAACCATATCTTTGTATTCAAAGGTAAGTAAGACACGGCTCCAGCCATTGTGGACTTATAGTTTACAAGTTTAATATTCCTATTAGCCAATATTCTGTTGACTTGCTAAAAAAAGTTGTCTTCTGTTTCTGATTACATTGTTGCTGTACATGAGTCAGTTTCCTTGCTCTTGGCTGTTTTATGTCGAATTTCATAAAATTGCAGCCTCTTATTTTGTGTAGGTAACTTGTCATTGTGGTTACTTTATACTAATGAGATAATTTACTTAATAATTCTTTAAAAATACTTAAAATTTGCTATTGGAAAACAGATTGAAACTGTGTAAATCCAAATCTCAAAGAATATCATAACTTTTCTTATTGTGGTAAAAACACAAACATGAGAGCTACCCTCTTAAAAATTTTAAGTGCACAATACAGTATTGTTAACTGTGGCCACAGTTATCTACAAAAAATCTCTAGAACATATTCATCTTGTATAACTGACGTGATTCTTGCTTGAGTCTGGGGGAGAGAAGAAAGATAGTGAGCCACTTCTGAGAGGTGGTCCGTACTGTATCAGGCATGCTCTTCTCTGCCTCTTTCCTTTTGTGGATCAAAGATAAAAGAGTGGAGGGAATCACACAGCAGGAAGAGACATTGATATTACTAGAATAATGCCCAATTTTACTCAAGCTGTTATAAAGCATTCTCAGGAGACTTTATAATTATTATTTTTAAATTAATTAATTAATTAAGTTTTGGCCACGTTGGGTCTTCATTGCTGCACATGGGCTTTCTCTAGTTGCAGAGAGCAGGGGCTACTCTTTGCTGCGGTGTGCGGGTTTCCCACTGTGGTGGCTTCTCTTGTTGTGGAGCTCGGGCTCCACAACTGTGGTGGGCTTCAGCAGTTGTGGCTCGTGGGCTCAGTAGTTGTGGCTCGCAGACTCTAGAGCACAGGCTCAGTAGTTGTGGCACACTGGCTTAGTTGCTCTGCGGCATGTGGGATCTTCCTGGACCAGGGCTTGAACCCGTGTCCCCTGCATTGGCAGGCAGATTCTCAATTACTGTGCCACCAGGGAAGTCCCCTATAATCATTATTTGTTTCTCCTTATACTTAGCAAGTGACCGTTTATTGTAATCTTCAGATGCATGTAGATAAGTTGGACCACATTGTCAAAGTGTTTTCAGGCTAACGAAATGAATGATCGTGTAAATTGATGAACGTAATACATGATCAAATGTGAACTGTGTTATAAGAAGAGCAGAAGTAGAATTGGGTGGAGCAGGACCTATGATAGGAGGGGATAGGAGATGTCATGATTTTCAACAGTAACAAAAGCTACTATTTTTTGAG